TAATTAGTTCTCAAAAGTTACCTATAATTTAATCTTCACTAGGGTATAACACTGTGTTGTATTTGAGGATCTTGCTTTTTCCCTTGTGTATGCTGAGGCCTACTGATTCAGAGACTTCTGCTTCACTCACTGGTTGTCTTGACGTGCATTTGTTGGTGTATATGGGATAGAACGGCCAGGTCATCTGCGAAGTCCAAATCGTCTAGTTGTATTCAACCTGTCCATTCCGTGTATCTCCTCAGATGTGGAGGTCTTCATAATCCAGTGAACCACCAGAAGAAAGAGAAGTAGGTAGAGTAATGAAACTTGTCTGCCTCCGGCCCTCACTTGGAATGCTTTTATCAGCTGTCCTCCATGCACTATTTTGCAGTGTAGCCCGTCGTATGTCTTCCGTGTGATATTGATAATCTTTTCAGGTGTATAAGGTTCCATAAAGTTCTCCTATCCACACTGTCGAACTCCTCATAATCGATGAGGTCGATGTTATATATATATATATATATATATATATATATATATATACACTATATTCCCCTTCTAGTTTCTTCGTCGCATCATATAGTTGTTTCATATTTCCTTCTCTTGAAGCTTTTTCCACCGTCGTTGTCAGTTCTTCAATGTATTTCTGCTTGTCGACTTTAATGCTCTTCTTCAATTGCTTGTTTGCTTCTGTGTGTCTTGACTTTCTCTGCTCGTGTTCTGCTGTTTTTAATTGCTGTGTTTTTGTTCTTCCTTTCTTGAATCTTGTCCAGGATTTCCATAGAGTTTCATTCCTTATGATGATGCTTCTTGAGGGCCAGAACCTCCTGATATGTTGATGTCAATGCTCTGATACCTTTCCAGTTGTCCTACACAGTGGTTTCTTCTTCTTATAGTAGATCTTGTAGGGCTTGGAACCTGTTGTTGAGAGCTCTTTTGAATTGGTTGAGTTTGTGAATATCTCGAAGGAAGGCTGTATTGAACTGTTTGTCCAGTGCTTCTTCAGCTTCAATGTAATCAAATTTTTACTGAGATCATGAACCAATCAATGTTAAACCACCATTGAAAACCTGGAAGTAGTGGATAGCCGTTTCATCCAAGTATGGGACTGCTTATCAGTGCACATTCACGATCCCTTACGCCGGACTCGAACCCAAGACCTTTGGTCTCGCGTGCGAACGTTGAACCTCTATACCACTGGGCAGGGCTCCAATGGTGTTAATGTCTATTTTCAACCAATCTACTATCTTCAGTTGTCTTCGGTGGGTAACTGCCCTACACTCGACACGGTTGAACTCCACTGTTTACGGCTTCTCACTGGAACTCCGAGACTTACCTCTGAAAGCTAGTCACTAGTGAGCAAATGATAATTATCATGATCTCAGTAAAAATCCAACAACCTTCACAACTTCATGCTGGTACGTTTATCACGTAATCAAATGAAAGGGATATAGTGGACAACCCTGAAGAACACTATTTGAGGCTGACTACACAGTCTTACTCGACTAGTAGGTTGCGATATGAGTGATTATATACTTATTTAGTACGCCTTTTAGTGAGAAACGCTTCCTCAGAACCACTCCGTCAACAGAATCGAACTCAGATGTCATTATCCCCATGTTCTAGAACTTGAAAAGTGATCAGTTATCTTCCCATCAAAATTCAATCGACTTTCTTACTAGCTAGATAACGTTTGCAGATTAAACACAACCATAAACCTCTACAATGAGTAGTTTTTCATCATGGACTTATCTATTTTATTGTCAAATATGTTAGTTATATCAAACATCACTCATCTGTTTTACACCTATCTTTAATAATTTAAAATATCCCCATAGACTATTCAAAAGTTTTAAGTACATAATTATTGTATTTCACAATCAAAATAAAGTATGTATGTGTATACATCTTGTTGTGCTAATGAAGTATGGCAAGTTGGACCGATGCACAGATATGCCCGATCCTACGTTGTAACTGACTGAATGTATATCTTTCTTCCTACTAACTAATTCTTTCTTTTTGTACGATATGCTTATATATAATCTTTCTTTTATATATTACTACCATTGAAGAAACTACTTCTATGAATGTAGTGTTCATCTTGTTGTGCTAATGAGGTATGGCAACTGTGACCGGTGCATATATGTGCCCGATCCTACGTTGTAGCTAACTGACTTAATGTATGTGTATAAATTTATCAGTGAACTATAGAAAATATTTTTGCATCATTTACACTTTCATTTTCTTTCTTTCTTAAAAAAAAACTTGTTCTCAAGGTTCATCCACTTGTTGGTAGTCGTAAACCATCAGTTAAATCTATCTCAGGTACAAATCATCATCATCACCACGATTCATCGACTAAACTTACCAATCAATCATCATTAACTAATTCAACAACCTATGGATTAAATAATTCACGCAAAAATAATACACGTCAACGTGATCGTGTAAAATCAAAGAAATGAGTATTATTCATTTCTATATAACATTGTTATATTTGTATATTGAATACAGCTTTCTCTCTATTTATATGATTGAAATGTAGTATGTTTCGTTAGTGATTCTTACGACTCGACTTACATGCTTATTTCGATACATTTCTAAACTGTTCAAATTCTTCATGTACATTATTATTATTATTATAGACCCTTAAATATATATCCCTCGTAAAGCTGATTTTATTTATTCGAACACAAAAGTATTGGTACAAGAAGAAGAAAGTAAAAGGTTACAGCAGGATCGCCACTGGCTTCTATTCTTAGTCATATCTGATAACGTTTCTAGCCAGTGTTGCACCATCTCTAGGACCCCAGCCAGGGAGTCGTGAAGTGGACCAACACAAGCCAGCGCTTTGCAGCTTTCTTTCATATCCCGACACCATGTCATACACTGACCACCTCTCCGCTTTTTCCAACCAGTCCCAGAGTCGGCAAATAGTGCACGACGTGGAATCCTTTGGGACGACATTCGTAAAACATGTCCAAGCCACCGAAGTCGATGTTTTAAGATGGTGACACCAATATGGAAAATACTTTTCTTGCTTCGATTAACAGTCAAACGATTCACATTATAAAGTTGATAATAAGAATAATCATTTCTAATAAATGATAGAGATCGTTTTTTCACATACTATTCCGTAGTATGAATTTTAGAAGAAACCAAGCATTGTAAGGTGATTTTGCAGTATGTAGATGTGACGTTTATTCACTTGATAAGTCTACATGATAACACCAACCACTTTCTTCTGGTTTGTGTAATAATGAATCAATCGAAAAACAAAATAGATCATCGATATTCTTAGAAAAGTTTCCATTACTGACTGATTTCAACTAATGTGGACAGTTATTAAAAGCTAATAGCCATTGGAGAATCAGCGGTTACCTTTATTGTATCAAAGAAATGAACTGAATAATGTAGAGTTCAGGGTTTTGAATGTAAATTGCAAAATGTTCTGTGTTATCAAGACGTTTTGTAAAGATAAGACGTGCTATTTAGAATAATATAACCTAGTTATGACTCAAAACTCATCCAATAATACACTTTTGACCACACAGCGACGCAGTTAAGGAATAACAATCTGTATATTTCAGTCATAAGTGATACAACCGAGAGTAACAATCAATTAGTGATAAATTTGGAATCCTAAAATGAATGAGACTTATGGATCAAGCAAGCGCCTAGAAATAATATAATGATAGTCTCTAAAGTTATGCCTCCGCATTAATTATGCGATTATATCTAAACTGTCTGTCATCTGTTGACTCAAAGAGGTATATATCCGAGGATGTAATCTAACACTAATTACGGCTAATGTGCTTTACTCCACAGAAGCAATCTTTGAAAGCGTACTGCTCTATCCAGAAATAGCATAGAGTAACCGGCTTGAAAGATTTTATTTTTTATAACTAAGAGCACTGACTGTAGATAACTCCGCAAATGACCTCCGTATGTTAAGCTTACTGCTTAAATGCAGCAGCTGGGTCAATTATTGCAACTTTATTGGCTTAAAGTCGATGTACTAATAATAACAATATAGCTCAATTACAGTGTAATTCTATGTTTCTGACCTCGAGTCAGATTTTGTGACAACAAATAATAATATTCGCTGTGCAAACCAAAACGAAGATGGTTTGCAATATATGGTCTAAAATTCTTACGTTTATAACAACTATGTCGTTGCAGTATAGTTTTTTCTATCGATATTGCATCATAAATATAACGTGAAATCCTGAACTACTTACTGATGTTCAAATTTTTTTTACTTCTGACGGCGCGGCAAATACGACACACACGAATTGGTAGACATAGATGATAAGAAATACTTGTTTACAAATCATTATGATAATCTACATGTTAAAGTATTATTATGCATCCTTCTTAAACTCGATTATCTTATAAATATTAACGCGAATTAATTGGTACAAATGAGTAAATACTACCTTACTCTATTTATTTATTTGAACACATAAAGTCATATAAAGAAGCACTTGATTTGTGTGCGGGTTATGATAGTACCCGGATGCCGAGACCGAAACAGGTGGTTTTCTTAGGAGCCTTCAACCTAAAGGTCTGATCCACAAGGCAGTGGAATAACGTCAGAAAATGCAGTCCCATGGTGGCCGATGACCAACAACAGGTTCATACACCATTTGTTCCCTCAGGATCCTGGGGCTCATGTCCACCATTGGTTTGGAATCAGGGTTTCCTAAATTCCCTTGGTGGATCATCCATATACACCAACCTGGTTAAAGCGCCACACACTCGCTTTTCACCCTCTCAATTTCGTAAACAACAACCCCCGCTACGAGAATGCAGTGAGTAGGACTTCCACAGCAGTGACTGTATACGCGTGGCTATTTGAGAGCATTTCGAGAGAGAAAGCTGGCTCTCTTAAACTCACAGGAATACAACAACTTTTTCATGTGTTTTAAAACTTCCAAAAATAAACTATTAGTCTATTGTTAACTATTACATCATATATTTCGACTAAATGCAATAAAATCTAATAGAAATCCAACTTGAATTGATAATAGTATGTATATATTTGATTATAAAAGACAGAATTTGGGAAACTCTTTGTAATATATGTGTGCATTTGTGACAGAAAGAAGCATATCAATAAGAAAAAGACAATTAAAAGGTAGTGTTTCTTTTTTTATTTTCGCAGAATGTACAAATCATAGGATAAGCTGTTCAATGGAAATAGAGGGTCGTTTGAACTGAACCTGAAATTTTTAAAACAAAAAAAAACTATATAATTAAGCGTTCTTTATATGATCACAAATTTTGGACAAACATACCTTATATACCCCAAGAATGTGATCATGTACTTGAAATCAGTTGCTTAGCTAATGCATTCACAAACAAGATCACATTTTGTCCCTCTCATAGATAAGAATGCGTATATACTACATTAACACTTAAGTCAACGACATATGTACTATTCTTCGTTTTTCCCCCAATTCAATTGCTTAACGTCGTGTTGCGTTATTGAGTCTCATAATAATCGTAGCACACATAATCAAGTTCAATGCATACAAGTACAGAAACAATAACGGAAAGAATACTAAGCCGAAGCATCTGATTGAATTTAATGGTTTAATACTCTACTAATAACCATTTACCAAAAAATGAATAACACTTTTGAATCCTAAATCATTGGTCTCCAGTTCAAACAGTTATGTACAAGTGATTAGGAATGGTTCTACATAACATCTAGTCACAATTCAGTGGATCATATTGAATAGAAGATAATCGAAATATTCATCGTATGCTAATTTGTCTTGATCAAAACGAACGTAAACAATACAAATCAACAAGATATCGATCTGGGCATCAGAAAATAGCTTCAGTTGAGTAGGATATATTTTTTAGCTGTTAAGGGGGATTTATTCATTTCACAAGAAAGAATAATCATTTCAGGATTTTATCTGGTAGGCAAGATTTTTCTTCTACGGGACGGAGTTACCGATCCCCCATTCTTTACCTGGGCTTGGGACCGGCAGTAACTCTATAAAAGGTACAGGTGGATTTCATAGTAGATTGTTATTAGTAGTAATTTTTTCACTCTATATCTTTTTATACTAGGCATAGTTTGACATAACTGACTGTAGGATCCAGCTGACGAGTCCCAAATAGGACGAAACGCGCGTCCTGGATTCCACTGCTAGCCACTATCCATCATTGCTTATAAAAAGCTTGTGAATTAAGGCAATATCGAGGCATACGCACAGTATGCACATATGCTAATAACAGACTGATCAATCACAGTCTTGAACCTCAATGGGAAGATACAAGCCAAGTTATTACCAAATAGGATTGTAATTACTTAGTTTTTAATTACCCTGTTGTACGCGGCGAGTAAGAGATGTTTTAAAACGTTCATTAAACATAATGGTCGTATGACTAAACTAAATTATGTAAAGAACGACTGTTGGTGGGGGGGAGGAGGATAGTGACAAATAAACCAGAAAAGTTATATGAAAAAAAGGTTAACTAAGGAGAAATATTTACATTTTTTTTATCCTGAAGGAGAAGCTTGAATAGTTGTAGCTGTATGAGATAAACTTGAATTGGAAACAGAAGTTGTTGAATTAGTTGTATTTTTTAATTTCCTAATTTCTTTTGTAGCCCAAACTGCTAAATTTTTAGTTCGAGATGCTTTAGCACGTCTGCCTCTTTGTAAAACAGAAGCGATTCCATCAACTTCCACAAGTGATAAAATACTACTACCATAAGCAGATACAAGATCACTACAGAAATGAATAAAATACAACATTTATTGAAATGAAATAATAAAAAAGAAGTATTTTCTAAATAAGCATTTGAAATACCGAAACTATTATCTGTTTACTGATCTGAGATACCTTAAGACCTACTACTTACGAGTCTTTAATTTTGGTTTAAACTAACCAATTGAGTATCATCTTGTTACAACTTACTATGTTTGATCACTTAGCTTTTCGAAGGTAAGTAGAAACATTCCTTCATCTGAACTGCATTTAGTGAATGCGCAGACAGACAATGTCCAAACGACTGTCTGCTATACTTTACTGGAACTACGACTATCTATATCTTAAACCGATAAAATAGCTTTTCTTAATTATGACCTTAAATGACTCAGGGTTAATTCTATGAGAAAGTATAAGAACCATATGGATTAGTAATCTTTTCAAAACGCAGGTTTATGAATGCTTGAAGATTGATATTATTTGTTGTGAACACTGATGTGTCCAATAAATGTTACATTGGTCAACGTCGATTCAGCCGACTGATCAAATGTCATGAAATACGTTAGATACTATACTTATTTGCTGTATAACTAAACAAAGTAATCAGAGTTTTGTATGGTACGATTAAATAAATGAAGAATATAGAGCATGTAAGTATAAAACCTATTTTGAAAAAAAAACGAACACTGTCTTTTAGAGACAGATGGAGAAATTCACGAATGGATAATATTGTAACGATATAATGAGCTATATTTATGAGATAGGTATTATCAGTTTACTTCAATCCAATAAAAACATATTCTCAATAATGTTTGTTGGATAGATAAGGTTTAAAGTAGCGTTTGTAACTATTCTTGGTGAAATAAAATGGTATTCAATTTAATCAGCTTTTTTTTCGAGCTTTGGCAACAAGATCAGCTACTATTTTAACTCCTCTTCATAGGTTACATAAGGTACCAACTAATTGTATCCAGGATAATGTACATGACGTCATAAGTTTGTCATTCATGAATTGAAGTGTAACCGTCTAAAGAAATCCTATTCATTATGTTAAGTGGTCAAATAAATAAGTTCACAACTCTACGGAACATTATAGGTGATAATATTTGAACTACGTTGTGAATATGACAGTCCTTACCTATGTACACAGTATAATGTACAACAAAGTTGACTCACCCGATCAGTCCACATGAAGCAGATATAAGATCTTCAGTTGTGATTGAATCTGCTCCAATATGTTGGATAAATGACAATATGTGAGATACATGACCAGCGACAAATTCCAAAGCTGCAGTAGATTCTAAAATGAGAGATAAATTAAAAACCCATTAAAGAAATGCCATTTACTATTCCAAAATATTTTTTTCTGGAAACAATTCAGCATCATGTATTATAAACAACTTACGTGGTCCATCTCCCTTAAGACCTTGGATAATACCGGTATAAGCCTCCAAACAACTAGTACGCAAGGAATTGAGATATTCAACCATATCAGGATCCTCCTAAAATAGTAAAATGTATAATTCATTGGAAAGTAACAAACATATGATGGACATGAAAATATCCAGTAAATGTATTCAACAATTCAAATGGTGCATTCAATACACAGGTTAACGTTAAAAGGTATAATAATGAGTTTGTAAGCAATATATAACCAACATTAGGTTTGATAATTTCAGAGAAGCGATTTACACGAGTTTGTGAAACGTCCCGACCGAAGCTGCTACCTTGACGCGGGGGTCGGGCTTGCCTATCGTGATGACCCAACCGAGCTATATTGGCTGGAACATATGTTCCTGTAGGTTCTACCATGCCAGACAGGTCGATTGGAGAACGGTAAGACTAAAAGCAGCAACTCAAGGTCTGAGGGCGAAGTCGTACTGCTGACTGTAGAGGGGTGTGACAGCAATAAGGTGTTTCCCTCAGACAACCAGCATCTGCAGCGATGCTGCCTTCCCACAAGGAGGGGTGGGGTTAGAAAAGGTCGACCCTAAAAATGTCACACCTCACCTTACCTCACGGATTTCCGTCTCCGGTGGTAAGGCCCTTAGAAGAACGGAGCTAACACATTAAAAAGCTTCCACGAAAAGACCGTGCACGACTAGCCTCAAGCAGTTGTCCCTTGGACTCTGCGGTCACGCTACTATTCATTATGATCTGGCAAATATATAATTTTATTATTACCAAAAGGTATGAAATGCAATTTTCTGTTGGATTATTTAAGTAGAATCTCAAAAACACATAAATACAGTAACAATTGATTCACAATGATAGTGCTTTGCACAATGCATAAGAATATATACTGAGCTTTGACCCATTGTGTAAACTAACGATACTAACAGGCTAACCGAACAGAAGTAAGCAAATTGCGGTTCGCATTTGCGATCTAACAATTGAAAGTCGAGTTTCTTATAACTAGTCACTCAGCCACAACGTAGGACCAGGTACATATACGCATCGATTCAAGTTGCCATACCTCAATTAACACAGCAAGATGAACACCAGATTCATAGAAGTAGTTAATTCAATGGTGTTAATATATAAAAGAAAGATTTTTATTTATTTATTTATTTTAACACATAGATATTGGTACAAGAAGGCACCAAATACATATGCGCCACACAAATCTCATTTGATGTGTGAGGGCTGTGATATTGGGCACCCGGGCAGTATTACAGCCCTCACACATCAAATGAGATTTATGTGGCGCATATGTATTTGGTGCCTCCTTGTACCAAGATTGCATATAAAGATATCTTATAATCACAAAATTATTGGTATTAACTAATGATATATGCTTTTAAAACACAATAAGGCGACAACTACAAAATATATACAATTTAATAATAAATTAAGTACATAAACTTTCAAACAGAACATACTAAATTGACTTCAGCTTGTGTGGCTTGACTCAATGTTTCTAAGACAATAGGAAGATATTTCCAGAACTCTGAACCCAAAGCCAAAGAGAGATCACCAAAAGTAGACAAAATAGCAGGACGAAGAGATTTGTGTGCATTTATATCCTACAGTGAAAAAATCATGCAAAATAAATATGTAAAATCTATATTGTAAAGCTTAATTACATAAGTATGATATAATAGGAAATGTAATAAACTCACTTGGTGTTGTTTTACTTGTATGTTCCCATTGTTATTTAGGACTACAATTGATCAGTCTCTTGTTGGTATATGTGCATCCTGTGCGGATTGCCTCAATATAGCCTTAAGTCACAAGCTTTTTAAGCAAAAAAGTAAAACATCAAGTGAATTTAATCCTTATTCCATTGAGCAAGCAAATGGATATCAGGACTCAGTAGCTAAGTGGATAACGCGATGGCGTTTAAAGTGAACGATACTGGTTTCAAGTCTCAGAGTGGATATCAACTCCGTAAATGCAGGTACATCTAGTTGACGAGTCTCAAATAGGACAAAACACCAGTTCTGGATCCCACTACTAGTCACTATCCATCTTTGCTTAAAATGTAATATACATCAATTAAAACTATCAAACATATCATGAAACTATTTGACGATTTAATTGTCAACCGAATAACGTCATTTATGTAAAAAAATTGCATCGATAGTTTCCATTTTTTTAATTAGAAAAAGTATTTTGTCAACTACAAATAGTTTTAGTTCATACTGAAACTACATTAAATAATCTTAAATAATCAAACAGCATTTTTTCCCTGAATACTTAATACGGGGATAATATCATAAAAGAATAATGTTAAACTATGAGTGAAATATCAACAGTTGAGATCATGAGTCAATTGAAGCTAGATCACCATGGGAAACCTGGGAGCATTAGACGGTCGTTTCACCCTATTGTGAGACTCCTCAGTCTACCAACCAAAGGACGTGTTTACTGCGCAGCAGTTCGTTCCGTCCTACTTTATGGCAGTGAAACATGGCCGGTAAGAGTAGAGAATATTCGTAGGTTACTAGTATTCGATCATAGGTGTCTTCGAAATATTGCTCGTATATCCTGGGACCATCGAGTAAGTAACGCAGCTGTTAGGAAACGGGTACTAGGTAAGGATGGCAAATCAATTGATGAAGTAGTGAAACTTCATCAGTTGAGATGGCTGGGACACGTGTTACGTATGCCCAACGACCGACTACCTCGACGTGCTATGTTCAGTGGTATAAGAGTAGGTTGGAAGAAAGCTAGGGGCGGCCAAACCAAAACATGGCACAAATCCATGAAGTCACTGACAAGTGGACTGACCCATGTTGGTAGGTGTAGACTATCTGGTTGGGGACCGCGAGATGATAGCAACCGATGGTTAGAGACCCTGAATGACATGGCTCAAAATCGTTTGCAATGGCGCAGGTGCATCCACTCTCTATGTTCTCCCAAATTCTAATCTTCTGAATTCTTCATGTCCCTTTTTTCCTCTTTCCAAATTTATTTCACTGGATTATACTCGTTAAATAACATCTCCAAACCCTAATCTTCCCGATTACTGCTTATACTCTTTCTACCTCTACCACTACGGGATTTGAATCGACAACTGCATCTCTGTGCTAATGTGGTATGGCAACTCGAACTGATGTACGTACGTACTAAGTTCTACGTTGTGACTGACTGACTGACAGCAGTGCGCATCCACGAGTTACCAAGTAGGATGAAACGGCCGTCCAGTGTTTCCATGGTAGTCTAGCTTCGATTGACTCATGATCTCAACTATTAAAATTACTATAATATCCACAAAACCCCTTCTGATATAAGTGAAATAATCAAACTGAATTGTTTAAAAAAGTTGACAATATTTAATAATAATTATTATTACTATTATTGATTGAAAATCCCGTGAACACATACGCTACACTACATACTTTAATCCTATGATTTAAATTCATTGTAAAGTGAGAAGCAGCGATACATGTCAAGAGTAATAGTCAGGACAATGAAATTAATTCATTATTAAAACCACTTAACCTACATACGTAACAGAAACTCATTACTATTATTATGAAACTTATATACGCCAGATTGGTTTGGTAGATTATCATATGACCCTGGAGTAGCAATAACAAAAGATTTTATTTTAAGTACGTAAAATAAGGTAAATGTCACTAAAACATGCCCCACATAATAAAGCTAATATTATAACAGAGGAAGTACACTTACAGAGAATGAAGACAAAATAATAACCTGTAAGCATTCGACGGCCGTTTCGTTTTAGTATGGGGCTCTTCATCAATATGCACCATCAATACGACACGCAGGACTCGAACACAGAACATCTGGTTCCGTGCGCGAACGCTTCACCTTAATCAATTAATGATGTTGCGCGTCCATCTTCAATTGTATTCAGTGGGTACCTGCCTTACATCCTACATTATTTACCTACACTGGTCACGGCTTCTCACTAGAACTCCGGAAACTTTCCCTTTGAAGCCAGTCACCAGTGAGTACATACTAGGATAAAACAGTCATCTAGTGCTTTCAGGTTTTTAATAGCAGTCTAATGTAGACCGGTTTATGATTTCAATGAAATTCAACGATTTGCACAACCCTATACTGAGAAAGTAATAAACATAATTAACAGCAAGTGTATAATAGGACAGTCCAGTTGATACAAACGAGACAATTTTACATTTACGAAGAATGTAAGAGAAAAAAAAACCCGCTGATTTCCGTTCCGAGCAATGTTGGATAAAGTTTGAAGCCACTGAACTATACTATCTCTCGGACTCCTACCAGAGAGCTATGATGAACAGACAGATGCCAATACTACACTGCTTTCTTGAATAACATGATAATATCACAAAATGACCACCTCTCCGATCTTTCCACTCTGTCCCAGTGTCAGCAATGAATGCCCGATATAAAGAAGTAGCTGGGATGATATTCGTAACACACGTACAAGCCAGTAAGGCGGTGTTTCAAGATAGTGACAAAAATTGTATTACCCACGCTGTGCCCGAACACACGTTGTCAAGCCTCAACATTACTAACATGGTGTTGTCACTGAATGTTAGCAATCCTTCGGAAACAACGATGATCAAACAAAGACTCGCTTAACGTCCTCAACTCAGAGGCCAGCTTTCACAAATATAGAGCTAGACATTTTCTCACCGACGCCCTGTAGATCTGACATTTTATAGCCAAACTAACATCATGAAGGCGCCAAACATGACTCAGATCGGCATAAGCCATTCTGACTTTTAATATAAGTGAGTTGATCACTCATGTAGCCACCAGGACTTACACAGCTACCCAAATACACGAACTTCTCGACCACTTCTAACTGCTCACTACAAAGTGTTTGTAGAGCAGGACATACGTAGAGCGCCAGTTTTATTGGTCGTTCGGTCAGAAGTGAAGATCAGACAACATAACACTGGTTAATGCCCATTAACCGTGTAAACAGCTCAGTTCTATATTAGATCGGTCACAACTTGAGTAACTGAATGATAACATTTTTAATTATGATACTTGTTGATGTCAGTTGGAACCTGTTTTTAAAAACTGATGACCCAATAAGCGAGTGTCAACTATCAAGAAACCCTGGTTTTCGAGTTTCTGATGATCGCCCCCGATCACAAAGACGATAAACTTGAGGTTTCATATAAGTGTTAATATGAAGAGATGATCTTATCTTATTCGATGAAGAGAACTTCAGACAAATGGATATGAAATGTAACGTCAAAGTAAGCATCCATGAATAGCCACCTGATATCAATATTTGACCCAACTATCATTATCATCACTTACAGTTCGTAAAACATTTCTGATAAATAAGGAAGTTAACCAACCTGTGGATTGGAAGAAGTATATAATATTATGTTTTGCAAAGGAATATACATCGTACATATACAAAACCCACTATCAAAAATGAAAGATTGGATTATTCTATATTTGACAGAAATCATAACGTACTTGTAAAATTTCCATCAGAATGGTGATAAGACCATCACAGTGTGGGAGTAAGTTCTTGTTCAAAACACGACACATATCCCCTAACAGTCCAACTGCATTCATACAAACTTGTGTTTCTCTATGATTTCGTAAACAAATTACCAAAATTGGCATGAAATCATTCACATATTTGACAAACGACTCTCCAACAGCTTCAACAAGCGCAGATACTGCAAGTAATGCATCTTCTTGCACACCATCACTGAATTTAGTTTTATCTGTTTCACCGTTGATCACAGATTGGTCACCAGAGCCTTCAGCAGCCGGTGTAGTAGTGGTTCGGAACATGGACATGAGGGCTAACATTACCTTGACAAAGAAATGTTTCAACAAGATTAAAGAATCCTCTTATACTTCTAAAGACTAAGCACCAGAAAACATGGCATAAACACAAATAATTCATAGTCATATGGATTAAGAGCTAGTTCTAGAGAAAAGTAATATTGAAATGGGAAAATCTCCACTTTACGTGTATTTTTATATCAGGGCACCTGGGTAGTATCACAGCCCACACACAAACCAAATGACTTGTGTGGCACATATATATTCGGTGTCCCTTTGTACCAATATTTATGTGTTCAAATAAATAAATAAATAACAGGGACCGAGAGGCGTATACTTTCTCTCAGAAATCCCTAAAGTGACAGGTCAAAAATGATCGTATTATTTATGCGAATGTATCCATGCTAAAACGTGCGGTATATCCTAACTTTTTACTATTTTGCATCTCTTTGAGATATTAACTTGTTAGTACCTTGAGAACTGTATTTTCTATGCGTAGTTTTCTTTTAATATCACTGATATTATTACATCAAACACTTTGATCTTCACTTCATAGAATTCCTTTAAGTATACACATCCTGGTTGTCTTTACCTAAAACTGGAGAATAATTCAACTACTCGACTGTAAGATATGTATGATGTAACAAAGTAAAAAAACAAAACATGCAGACTGGTGGGAACAATGAATGAAAACTTACCTTATCTGATATTACAGGTGCATCCTCTTTACTTATCTTTCTCAAAACAGATTGTAAAGTGCCGCATAAAAGTGACTGTAGATCGTTAAATTGTGCTCTATCTTGATGTGAAACAATTTGATGTTCCAAACCAATGATTGACTCTAGCCGTTCAAGAACAATCAGTGTTACACGTTGTACTTCACAATAACAATCTTGAGCTGCAGATCGCATAAGCGCCATCAAGGCTGAGTACGCTGCATTACGAAGATTATGCTGTCCACCATCTGGTCGACTAGAAGTTGCTAGTAGACGTTCTGTGATCACATTGAAGTATTGAGATAGTATATAGGTCCTTGGTTCCCCATTATGACCGGAATTTTCTGATAGAACCAAATGATGAGATAGTTAGGAAAAGATACTTAAAACTTGTTAGTTTAATCAAGCGTTTTGAAAATTCTGCTTTATCGAACTAATATTTTCCGGGAAGCTGGGTTATATGAGCGGCAACTATCTATTAATTACGGAACGAGGTTATCTGTAACATGCTTTACAAGTATTCGATGGATCAGATTACGTCATTTACAAAAAATTGCCTGTTTAAAATGAGTTGTCACTTTAAAGAAATCGGCAGTTGCACGAGACTTTTAGTTAACCTGTGCGTTTTGGTCAGTATTACTATCTGAAGACCCAATTAAAATCGAGCAAGGGTGATCTGAATCAGTGTTTAAACTACTGATTTACAATTTTCCCTTAATTAGCAAGACAAAAGTTAAGCAATTGGTCTACAAGGTTACATTTACCTACTGTTTCCAAGGTTGACTAGGAACATTAAAAATTTAAAGGTCTGATAGCCTTGTAAGTATTAAACATTGGAGATAGATGACCATTAATGAATAAAACGAGATATAAAATAATCGAACACTGGATTTACAAGAATGAGCGGGTATTTTGATAATATACAGGGAAATCTTGATATTCGATAAACTTCGACTGATCAAATGACATTTGTCAATTTGACATATGGAACGTGGAGCCTGGTACATATGTGAGTTAGTTGAAGTTCCCACACTATTTTAGTACAGCGAATATTCGAACACTTCAAGAAGTGAGTTCAGGTTTAAAACAGTATACTCAAATTTTTCGTGAGAACATGAGAAGCATTTCTGATAAAAACAAGCCTTAAACAATGAAATATAAGCATATACGCTATAATTGACACAAAACTTTCGTCTCTAGAACTAACAGTAAGATGGGAATTTTTGATTTTAAGAATCTGGATATCTGAAAATTTAATAAATCTCTCACGCAGTATTCCAAAGTCAATCCATGAAGTTTTGTACAGTACGTTCACGCCACAAACTGTGTGGATTATTTCTGAGCTAACTATTAAATTTACGAATGTGATTGCCATCTATTCCTCACATAAAGTTATTATGGGTGTGGTTTTTGTAATTTGTTTTTACCATATGTTAACTGTGAATATCTATTTCGTCATTAATAAACGTAATTTATCCACAGAAAATACCACTAATTCAATATCATACAATATCGATAGGGAATAATCCGCTTATATTCGAATAATATCAACATTGTGAGTAAATTTAGAATATTACTATATCTCATTGTTACATGAGGATGATTTGAAACTAAGTTGATTAGAGTAAAAAAATTTCTACCTGAGGCGGCATCATAAGCACTTTCAGCCAGACTAGAAAATGCCCAACAAATGTTAGCAGCAACTCTTGGTTCACTGGACAATCCTTCAACTAATCCGGTCAACAAAGGAACCAAATATGCTTCGTGTAGAGCAACTTCTGGAAGGGTTTCACAAACACGTCCGATAGTCCATGCAACTGTATCGCGAACAGCTGGTGACTCGTCACGCAACAATTCGATTATTACAGGCATAGCAGACTCTACTAGGGGCTTAAAAAAACGAAAATCCCTGATCAACTATTGCCAAGGAAGTAAAATACATGTAACTTATTCTTAAGATGGGTATTTTTTATGTCGGCCATAAGTCACAGCCAACAGAAGTATAACATGTATAGAATGTAATCATAAACAAGATTGAAAAGTTTGTTTTCATTAATAGGAAGAAACAAGTACATATTAACTGACGTACATTTCATGCAAAGTTCTGAAAACTTGAGAAGTTACTGGATCCACATAACGAGGTAGCACATCATTTACACTGACGACAGAACTGACCACAATATCATAGCAGTTATGTTACGTGGTGAACTACATTATGTAGTTTTAGATCGGCGAAACACGCTGAAGCATGTTTACGCACTGTGTTTACCTTAGAAAACTCATTAGTGTCTGGCGACTCGACTTACCGTTACAAAACCAGCCCTGGAAATCAGGGAAAAAATAATTCTTCCAGGTGTAAAACACTTTGGAATTAATATCGCTTACTAACCAACGCAATCACTCCACTCTTACGCGAACCAAAAGATACAACAGCGAAAGACAAATTCAATAAGAACACGAACTATCGGTTAAACGACACGATATGCTAACATTGATATCAATGGGTACATACAACTATGGAGATGAACTTGACTCGGAGGACGCCGAAAATCTGGATCGTGCGAATTCTAAGCGTCAGTTTTTTGACATCATAACATTCCGATGAATTAGCAATTGGATATATCGATTCAAACATGATCATTCAAAAAGGGCCAAGCGATAACTTGGTTAAAGGTTATTCGAACAAAATAGGCAACTTGAGTACAAAGACACCTGAAGACAATAAAGCACATGGGGATAACCAATCACAATTAAAGGCCATCAAAACAAAATAACTTAAGACTCGTTGAATAACTAAGAAACTCAGTTTTACTTGAAGTAGGCACTTACGGTGTTGTCCAGAATGACAACGAAAGTTCCGCAATTGAACCATCTAGTTTAAAGTACTTAACAACACCAAGAACACAAAGTGATTAGTGAAATCCTAATAGTTAGATTTTATGTATAAGTTGAATACGGAAATGTAACAAGTGAACAAGCTAAATGTTCAGTTACCCTATTTTGGATTTTATTGCCGAGGATGAGGAAAACAGTACATTGGCGCTATAATATGAGACAATCCGTCGTTTAACGACATATCGCGGCGAGCTGAGAGGTGAAAAAACTTATCATTACTTTGCTAAAACGCTTAACCAAATTAAACTAGGTAATGACTACATTCGTACACAATGCTTTAAAAAATTGCAAGCAAACCAACTTAAATGACAAGACTATGACTAAAAAGAAATGAACCTTGAGTGCTGCAGGATCTGGACCTTCAAGAATACTGCCGAAGCTCATGACGGCAGCATCTCTGTAGCGCCAGTCAGGTTTCTTAATATTCTCCTTTACAAATGGTATGACAAGATTGACAATCGGATCTTCGCAACATTGTGCCAGCAGCATTAAACACACACCAGAAGCTTTACTTGGATTCCACTCGTCGTCATCCATTGATTCATCCTGCTGGGCAAGAATTTCCATCAGGATTGGTACAATAAATTGCAGGGCTCCCTTGGCATAAAACATGCTAGAAACCGCTGGAGGTTGACCTTTCTCAAAGCACTCGGCAACGTCAATAGCTAAGTCGATCTCTTCATCACAAACTGTAGACCAGAACTCGATTCCCTGAAGAGCGACTTCCGGTACAGAATCTTTCATAGCTCCCAACGTAATCTAGCAATGTTGAAAACATTTTGGAAAAAGCTGATGAAATGATTGTTATGACAGTAGATACACCAAGTGAAATCAATTCGAAATTAAAACATGTAGAACCAAGCTAGAAATGAACCTAAAGTGGTATGTTCTAGACAACAAAACAAAACTACCACTTAAGTCCGTAAACATGTTTAAGAAACTAGGGGATGATAGCAACTTTGTTATCCAACCATATCCTGAACTCAAACGCATCACTAGGGCCTCCAAACTAACTACATTATGCTGACTGGACAGCAGTAGATAGTGAAGTTCCAACCTATTAAGTAGCAGTTACAAGATAAATCCTTATGCGTTTAATCCTTAACGAATCGCTGCATTTGAGTTGGAGTTTAAAATACTTCTTAGATTCCAGTGCGTTTGAGAGTTTAATATTTAGGTGATTGGTTAACGGTCTTTAAGGTGAATAATTCCCGAAATCTAAATATTACTTTGGTAGATAAATTGTATATAGTAAATAGTAAACACTAGCTACGTCAGAAGACAGAGATTACGAACACAATTTTCGATGTACCAAGAAATAATATTTCTATTACCGAAAGATAGAAATACGAAATCACTTTTGTTGCGATGACAGTATAGCTTTATCATCAGTCAACTTTAAGTACACAGAAACTATAATAAAACACGAGTTGAACCATAAATCTTAGTTTTATAATTATTCCAAAACTAATGGGACCGTGACTGAGTGGTTAAGATCTTTGACTTCTAACCAATAGGTCATGAATTTAAGCTTCGATCCATTTTTGCTTGGGCAACCAAGAAGTATCACTAGCTCTCAAACTACAGTTTAGAGCTAAGTATATGAGACTGCACTTGCTAGATCAACTATACGATGGGTGGAACTTTTTAACAGAATATGTAAATTTAATTTACGTGAAGGTCGTAGTGAGAAACCAAAGTCGTGAGAAGATACGCTAACAAGAGTAGATATTGATAGACGATAAGGTGATCATTCAATATAGCATCAGCACTGCAATGACTAAGACAGGTCCACCAACAGAGAAAAAAGTTGACTACGTGGATAAACATGGGCGATAGTAGGCTGCTTTTGTTGCTTATGCAATCTCAGAACACGTTTGTGACTTTAGAATTTGATATAGACTGTGGTTAGGTGTGATCAAACGAATACGGCTTGCATAGGTAAGAATTCAACTTTTATGTTCATTAGTTAAAAATATAGGGCATGGTTCTTAGTTAAGTTATAAACATTAACTTACGGCAAATAACGCTTGTTTCATATACGGCTCCATATAACTATAGTAAAGGGACATTATTTTTACTAAACACTGAAGAGCTGCAACACGGATTTGAGGATTTGGCGACTGAGTTGATTCGCAAACAACTTGCATAATGTAGTTCCGCTCATTCTAAGATAAAATTAAATAATCAAGCACCAAATTACATCAACATCGAAATTGTGTTTTGTAAACTCCAAAGAATTCAGAAGTGCATTTGTCGCTGCTAAACGTACGCTATCACTGAAACAAGAGTTATGGAGCTCAAATCCATATACCTTGGTTCTTCTTTTTTCATACCGCAAACTATGGCAGTTAAAATAGCGTTTGACTGGCTAGCTAAAATACAAGGATCCTGTCGGAACTATACAAATGCACTGGTCTTACTATATCTTGGCAAATGTATCCTATTCCTTCTAATGTTGAACGCTTGCATGCTTCTGTTTTGTTTGGTGTGATCACGTTTTCCACCAATCGCTCCATCAGATCTGGCCACTGCAGTGCAGGAATTTCTGCACATGCAATGTAAGCCACACATTGTGCAGCAGAACTATGTGTCGTAGTTTCTGTTCCTAAGGCGGCAAGACACTGAAGGAAGGTCATAAATATTGTGGGGACGTACGTTTTTTTTTATATACTCCCGTGACTCCACTGGAGCCTGTAACCATCGTTGTTGATAAAGTGTTTTGAGCGCCGGGTCTTTGGAGTATAGGGCGTTTTTTAGCTGAATGCCAGCTTGCATACGTACAGGAGGAGAACACTCAACGTTAACCAAAACATCACTGAGTTGTCTGAGCAAACCAAAAAGGTCTACTTTGGCTGCTTCCTCGAGAAAGTGCTGAGCCGCTTCGAGCTCCGACTTTTCTAAGAGATTCAGAAAACAATAGCTTCCATTGTACGTCCAGTCTTACCTAAGGAAAGACTTTTTTCCAAAACGGAAAACAACCCAACGTCCAGAGACATATTAGGAGAAGAGCGTGTCCCCGGGATTTGAAAACCAGCCTCTCAAGTAGCCGCGCTATGTTCCGATTTTCCAATGTTAGGTCAATTCAAACGACTCCATAATGGAATGATTTACTGGGAGGATAATGCAAAATCAGACCCCAGCGTTCCTAAGCAATAAAAGTGGACTACATCTGCCAGTATAATGACTTCAGGACGAAACCATATACCCAAAGAAGACCTCACTACATTTGATAATTATACTGATCACTCATTAAGTTTTCTCCTCTCAAACAGTCCAAGTGGTTGGACACAGCACAACAGGGCTTTAGTCCTATTGATTTTTGTACGTTTAACTGCAATTAATCTAAAGTGACACAAAGCAAAGACCTGGGTATGTGGACAAGTTGAAGTGAGGGAATCTTAGCTAATTTGGATGAAATTCTATTTCGAGTCCTAGAGAATCTAACTTCCTAAATCTTGGGGAGCGATTGAAATCTAACATGGAACACTTCAGCCTGCAAAGAACTTCTGGACTTCTGTGTTGTTACACTTATATCTGCGATTCGGTAAGGATAGGCCAATCGGCCTATATTAATCCTTGAAATTTGTGGTACTGTAAAGACCCGATCTCCCTTTGAATATATCAACCGAAGGCTCTTATATTACGTATTCTGTTGGAGAATCTCATTATCTAACTACTCAATGTGAGGAATGGAAGTCATAAAACCCTTTGTTGCAGCAACCCTCTAATTACTCGTAAGTCTTAGGTCGTTGTTCATTTGGACTCCTAGATTCTTATTGTCCATTACTTTAGGTAACACCATCCCGCTGATTATGTACCTATATGAATCGTCTTAGTTATTCGTATAACTACGCTTTTGTTAAAATAGGCTTCTAACGACCAAATGAATCTGCCGGAGCTATTAAAATCCCAGGATGAATAGTGTCAAGACCACTTGACTTATCTGGTTTAAGATTTCGAAGTAACCGCAGTGCAGCTCCTTTCTTAATAATCACAGGAACCATCGACAAGCCGCCGTCATCACGACTAATTGTTGGCGCTTCGCCACCGTCGATGGAAAACACCCTACAAAAATGTTCTGATAAGTCTCCGTCTTTTTTAATCATCATTTTTTGCCAATATCAACGAATTGTCTTGCATCAGAAGCGGCGGAATTCCATCAGTTCTCTGAGTTTGTCTCTTCATATGCGAAAATAACCTTAAAGGATGGTTTTTACAATTCCTAACCAATTGTTTCTCGGATAAATGCCCATCTTCTATGACAAACGCTCATGTTAGGTTAAATACATCACGATTTATTAACCACTATTCAAATAAACATTCACACCACTTCATAGTTGACATTTGGTTTAATTGGTTTCGGAATTATTTCCTTGGGAGAGATTCGAACAAGTAAAGCTTCTAAACAGTACATGTCTATGAACGTCTTAAAGTTCATTATGAAATGGTCTTCGAGTCAAGACTTAACCGTTAACTGTGGACGTTTTTAGAATTTTGTATCAGTATACCTGCTAAAGTAGTTTATCTTTGTCATTTAAAGTGAAAAATGAAATGCCTTCACCTTAACATGAAGCTAAGTAGAACTATCGAAGTCAGAGGAAACGCCTTGCCATCAAACTGATCAAAATGTGTGTTTCAAGGTGACCAATGTAAGATTGTATCGGAAGGCATCTTTGTCGTGTTTAGTGAGGGATTTAAGACTTAAGTGAACAAGCCAGCTTACTTTTTTTGTACAAACCATTCTTGATGTATCAGAACCAAGACTGAGGGACTGTTAATCCTGGAACCATTTTGTGGATCATTAGTACAATATTGAGTTGTTCATTTTATAATTAATAAACAACTGAATTGCTTTGTTCTTATTTTCTGTTTGTTGTAAGGTTTCATTCGATTCAGAAATTAATGTTGTGGGTCCAGTTATTTATAGTTTATTGCCAGTCGTATATTTAAAGCTTTCCGAGTTCACAACCACTTTCGAATCTACTCGCGCATAACAATGTTTACATATATCATCATGTGACACTTTACAGTGTGCCTTTACACAAAGTACCTGTGCTTGAAAAAATGTAGCGGAAACGTGGCTGATGACTTCGCAACAACTTAAGGTGGTTGATTAATAATTGGCCGAAAACATTATGGTAGTGTCGAAACATTGTAGCCCAAGTGTTTGTTAAATCCATCATTTTTCGTAGGCATTATATTTCTTGCCATCATATATTAAATGTTGAAATTGTGTGTCCGAAAATAGAACCTAGCTGCTAAGTACTAGGATACACTCGCGGAATTCCAAAGTTAACCAAATCACACCCTCAACATTCCAAAAGTAAACTAAGAGTAACCTACCGAATCAAAACTGAGGGGGCACATGTGATTTCTGGACTCAATAAACTAGCACCAGATAGGCTTGAAGTTGACAGAGCTGGATTCAACTATATCCCCAATTTGGATTTTGTCTGTCCCTCTACTAGCCAATGTGTACTCCCCCAAATACATGCTCTCAAAGAAAAAATTAAGGCAAATGACGACCGTGAGGGAATTACAGGTCCCCCACCCACCAAACTGTATCAGATAGGTACCCAATGCATCATATCCAAGATTTTAAAACGGGTTACAGGGTGTGAACGTATCTACCAAAATTGGCCTGTTCGCGTCCATTTGCATGCCATTCAGCCTGAGGAATACGTTACAAACATCTCAAAGGTTTATGTACAACCTAATTCGCAATATGCCTTTCGCACAAAAGTGTATAGACGACTTGCAAATTACCATTCCGGATTTCAGATCACACAAAAAACACACGAGAGCAGCTAGATGAAAATGGAATGAATATATATCCCAGGAGAGACTACATAGATCAGAGAAGAGGTAGACACCATTAGACAGTAACACATAACAATTTCTCCAACACAATCTTAAAGTTTTCTAGGTTTAGTTAACTCTTATCGTAGAATCATACCTAGTTGTACAAAACTAATGAGACCACTGACAGATTCCCTCAAGGGAAAACTGTAAGATTTTAAACTGACTTCCAAGGCTGATGAGGCTATTAAAATACTAAAAGATGAAATTGCTTAATTATCTAAGTCAACGTATCCGAATTCTCGTTACCCACTCGCTTTGACAGTAGATGCTTCAGAGAAGCAGCAGGTGGTATTGTTGTTCAACTGGTCAAAAACGGCAGGTAACAGACTAGGTTCTTCTCAAAAAGACCAGCTGCATCATAGACTAGATATGCTACCTTCTGACGAGAAATTCTCTCAGTCTACTTAACTGTTAGGCGTTGACGGCACATACTGGAAGGCAGGGAGTTCATGGTTTACACAGATCATAAACCACTAACCAATGCATTAAAATCTGAAGCCGACAAATATTCTCCTTTAGAGACCCGACACCTTGACTATATATAGCTAATCACCAGTGATATCCGACATGCAAAAAGTCAGGACAATCATTCAGCAGATGCATCATCACAATCAGAAACGAACAGAATCGAACAATAAACCGTAAATTTTCAGTTATCTAGTTACATGCAATGAGAAATTCTCGAGGTTTCCGATAGCCATGCGAATAACCAAAATCATAGTAGCCAAAGCTTTCATGAAGAACTGAGTAACTTGTTCCGGTACGCCTGTTACAATAATGACCGATATAGAAGCCGACTTTGCATCTGTGCTATTCAACAATTTGTCAAAACTTCTAGGTTCTAAAGGAATACTTTGCACAGCTTATGGTCCATAGGCTAATAGAATGGCAGGGCATTTCTGTTGTCAGTTAAAACTGTCCTAATATCACACTTAAATCCACAACATTCTTAGAATTAGTTATCTTGCGAATAAGATTAGCTGTCGATACTGTTTCACAGTGTTCTGCAGCAGAATTAGTCTTTGGAATGACGTCAAGGTGATTTTATCAATCCTTGTATTGATGTTATAACTTGTGAAACTGTGTGCCCTGTTCATTGTACAACGCAACGATACCGTCAATCAGAGAGCAGCAAATTATCGATCGAACCAGTGACGCATAAAACACGTGAGAACAGCCTAGAGTACTTATCGGTCTAGCTTCCTGTCTAGCCCAGCCAGTTAAGTCCTGAACACAAATCTCAGTCCCTGCAATATGAATGATCTATTACAAACATACGGGGTTTATATTACCAGTCAAGCAGACCACAACATACCATAAAATAAAAAACAACATTTGTACAATATTTGGCCAAATGTGGCTGTGAATGAAGGAGGTAGTGATTGATAGATAGGCCATAACTCAAGAATGGTAAATCGTATAATAATAGTTTATGGGTCAAAATGAAGCTTATAATAAGGGGGACATGAATATGAATAGTTTAGTTACATAACAATTACACGATAAAAATATGCTCACAGTATTGGTTCATAAATGGATCCCAAAAATTACCATTCATTATTCTTATCGGAATATAACAATTGAATATGAAAGGCTTGATTTAACAAGTTACGTGGACCAATTAAGTGACCGAATGTCATAATTTAGACCGGTTAGTACTCGTGAACGGTCACGAGTGACAAATGTACTCGTGGACATAGGCAATCTCGTGCACATCTAGATAAGGTGTTACAACGTAAGAGCAACACTTGCCCCTCTGTCCGGAGGTTCATATAAAGTCATCCCAAGAAAATCTAAATATTTCGTGATCAAAAACAGGAGAACACTAACTCAGTAAGTATCGATATGCTTAAATCATTTTATCTAGATAATGAACCATTGTATGCTTTATTAGGCCGTTTAAATTACGAAATAATTACAGAGTTGACGAGCAGCAACAAGAACTCTTCACATGTGAACAAAACGTTTGGTTAGCAGAATCGATCATTCAGCCAAAGATATTTACAGTTCTGGCCAAATTCATAAATTTGACCAAATATGTACTAAATTTTGGTTTGTTGAGTTTTTGTGCGTGTACTTAAATAACGAAAATAACAAGGAAAGCGTTTTTACTTACTTTGTACCATTCTTTCCAAAAAAGACAAACATAGTACCAAAATCGCAGTAGTTGTGTATGAGAGAA